AGATAAACATGAAGATGATCTTTTTCCATTTATGTTCTGTTTGACGACAATTGCTGTCTGAGGGCACAGGTCGAGGCATTCAGCCAAGGCTCAGTTATAACTTTAGATTTCCATTTAAAAGGAGCGATACACAAGCCCAAAACACAGAACCACCCAACAAATACAGCCCTGTCTGAATAGCTTACAGAACTCTATCAGATGTCACCAGTAACTGACTAGACACAAAAGCTGGAGCCAATACATTATACAGGGTGGGCCACAGAAAAGTAGCATGCCTCCAGTGTTAGGAGCTAGTTACTTAGGGCTCCAAGCTACCTTTCCATGGCCCACCCTGTATTATACATACAGTGTATCTATTGCTTTTATACTGTACATACATAAGCATTGGATCAAATGAATATAATGTGACAGTAATGTGAAACTGGTCACCCTTTGATGAAAACTTTCACCCAACTGTGCAGCTCTAGGGAGGCTTTTAGCCCTTATATCAGCTCATTTTTATTCTCTAACTTGCACATTCTGACATCATCAGACCAGTTTCTGGCATGTTTTTAGCAGCTAATGTGCCTGGTATTTCTCTCAGGAGTTGGTGGAGAACGGCTAAAATTACAATGAACATTGAACTTACATTTGTTGGGTCACTAGAAACAAAGTTAATGTTGAACCTTGCCTTTTAAAATTGTAAACAAGTAATAGTTTGCTAACACATTAGTTATATCACCACTACAAGGCCATATAATGGAGAAATGTGCACGAGATTTAGCTTGTTGTGGAGTTTGGCCCACAAGTGGCCAGAAAAGACGTCATCACAGATTTAAATGTAATCATTTTTAGTACAGGTTTTAAAGAAAAGTTTGTGTCACATAATTTAATGTTGTTTTGGAAGCTTTTCTGCTCTGACAAGCAGGCAAGTGGCCAGCAGTCCTCTACTACGTTTGCCATAACAACTTAGAAATCAAACAATGCAGCTTAAACATTTAATAAGCATATTCAGAAAAAGGGAATTTTAAGATCTTTTATTTGCAGCTATGCCTTGTCAACCAAATACTCTAGGCTTCTATTTAAACATTATGACTCTAAGTACCTGAGAAAAAAACATGAGTACTTTCCAAACTGACCCTTTCCTTCCTAACAATTAATGATCTAACAAAAAAAAGCAAATATCAATCAAACCACTTGGGGCACTTGTTTCTGAGAACGTTTCAGATGTGAGAGGAATTGCTGCGTTGCTCCATGAGCACTCTTGTAGAGCAAAACTTTGACAGGGATCTGGCAGAGTGCCATGTTTCAGAGAAAGTACAGTACCTGCTGTTGTAGAAGAGATGCAGATGGGTGGTCGTCCCATTGGCTGTTTGGACAGCCACAGACAGACTAATCTGAGTCTACCACCATAACCAAAAAAGTTCTGTGAACCCATAAATCTTAATTTAAGCAAACAAGTAGCGAGAGCGTAGGTGTACCATTTGTATTGCACATTCAGTTATAGCTGTAGTTACATTACCTAAAACAATAAGGGGATATAATCTGACCCATCTGCCTTGCTATGCGGCCAAATACACTAAACAGTAAAGCACAGAGTTTCTCCTGACAGAACATAAAAGCAAACTTAGTTCAGGGTCATAAGGTGCAGTGAAAAATATTTTTTCCATGAAGCAGATAGATAATCACTGGTTCTTTCTTTTAAGCTACTGTAATTTGTTGTTTTATGGCAGTTGCTATGTATTTTGTTGTGTGTAACACAATGACAATAAAGGTTTGTCTAGCCAGCTGTTATGTGCAGTAATCCAGCTGCCTTCTATCAGTGTAATTACAGTTTCATTTGTTGTGTACAGTATAATCAACTACTACTGTAAGAGGTCTGTGTGATAGCCTTAGGTGCTGATCTTGGATTAGTCAACCTTCCCTGGACTCATAAGAAGAGAGGAGACTGATGTATGGAATTTGATTAATTAAAGGTTTCCGTTGGCAGCTGAATCTTCACATAAAGATTACAACTTTGGCATAAAAAGTGGGATCCCCTTGGTAACAGCCATGTATGTGTATTCAGTAACATGTTACAGTCTACATTCACAAAGACATTAAAGGGATCATACATCAAGCAAGTTGGAAGGTCTCTAACAGTGTGGGTAAAAAAAAGGGTCACTGACATCTTGAGAAATATACTCCTGGCCAAGAAATACTCCAGCACATAACCCCCACGAAGCCACAAGCTGTTGCTTTGAGATGCTCTAAAGACTCTATGTAGAGCTTTGTCAACTTGTCACTCCACAACAATTTTGATGAATTTGTACGCATTGTTGTCCAAGTATGAATTTTAAAATCACATTAGCTGAACTTTTGGGTCACTTGGGGGCATCAGAAAGAAGCTGTGAGCATAACATTAACACATCACCACCTGTTATGTTGATAAGGCAAACTTCTGAACAAACTCATTTATACCTTTTATACATCACAAACGGTGCTGATTTAGTGTCCAAACTGCACTGTTACAACTTCAGCTTTCATCACATGACCCACATTGAACCCAGCAGCTTGAATATAGCCATTATTTGTACTATGCCCACTAGCTAAAGCAATGTTATCTTATATTTAGAGTCATGTTCCCATCAAAGCCATATTCACTCTTTATCGCCATTTTTGGTCTCCACCAACTACTTTAACTACTAAATGCTCCACTATATCTGACAGTTTATAACTTTTCCCTTTGCTAACCAGACACATAACGTGCACTATGAAGGGGGTGGGAGGTTATCACATGTAATAATATAGGTGACAAGGTGGAGCTGTGGTTAGTGCTGTCACCTCACAGCAAGAGGGTTCTGAGTTTAAACCGACTGGGGCCTTTCTGTGTGAAAGTTCAGATTTATAAAAAAACAGAAATTTCCAGAGAAAATAATTCATTCATAAATTCCTAGCAAAGCCACAGAGAAGCAGCAGGTATAGAGGGTGGAGTCAATCAACTCAATCAAAGGGTTCAAAACATGTACTGTAAGTGGTGTAACCTGAAACATAGGAAGCAGCCAATTGACCAGGCACAGCAGTAACAAGGATAAGGTTAGCAAAACCAGATATGGGGTAAGTGGTGGATGCCCAGAGCTTGGAACCAGGCAGGGGAAATGAACAGATGGAGCCAAACAAGCGGGTGAATGGAGTGTCCTTGGTAGCATGAACAGATGGAATCTGGAGCCAGGAACAGAAACCTCAACAAAACAAAGGTCAAAACAGATGCAACAAGCAGAATAACTCTAAGGGGATAAACAAAACAAACTGGCAATGTGGTGAGAGAGGGGTGAGGTGAATATAAAGGCCTAGCCAGGCAGAGGCAATGAGCATCAGGTGCAAGTAACTGAGATCAGTCATGGCAGAGTAAAGCTGGGGCTGGTGAGGGTGGCATGGTACCGGAAATAATTTCAAAATAAGAGCAGGAAACAGAAACTCGGTCAGGAAAAGGTTATTTGTGTTTAAGGCAATAATTTCTTATTGTTTTTCATTTTTCATTTATTAATACTGACAAGCATCACATTTAGACTCTGGCAGGGGTGGCCAATCAGACTGGGGGGGGGTGGCTAGTGCCACCCCAGCTAAAAGGCCAAGTGAGCACCAGTTCTCTGCATGTCTATGCTGAGGTATTCAGGGATCATAGTGAGTGTAGCTCAGACATTTTGGAACTGCTCCGAGTCCCTTACACAAGCACAATCGAAGTTACAATGTGATTTGTCACTGGAATTTTTCCAAATCCTAAAGAGACAGCAGCAGAATTACTGCTGCGGTGAACCCTGCTGTGAGTAATAAATCAGACTGCATATGTTGTGCTGTGACTGGAGTATCTGTCTGCTGCTGCTGACTTCTCTGCTAAAGCTTTACATATCAGTGAGAATTATCTCCATAAATTATATGTATCTGTTTCTGCCTGATGGAATATTTATGTGTAGAAACAGCAGAGAAAATATGGGAAAATGATATAAACACATCTCTCAAAATGCATGCTTCTGTTGGCAAATCGGTTGTCAGTATTGCCACATATCGCTCAGTATGACCTGACCTTATTAATTTGGCTCAACATGGAAATTTGAGTGTTAAGTTTTGATTTACAATACCTGAATCCGTAACTGAAATGTTTTTCTAGAAGTGATATGTCGCCCTCTAGTGGCTAAACATACACCTTTGACAAATCAGTCTTACCTCCAGGTCCATGTAGTAGCTTTCATGATCTATCCCAACAGATGGGATTTTGAACAGTTGTCACAGAAATGCTGGCACTATGCAGTCACAGCGGTAGCCCTGCCAGGTCCACGTACTGGACCCCATCTGATTCAGTCTCATTTAATTTGATTTCACCTGATCAAAGAATATGCTACCAATATACATACAGCTTCTTTTCATGTTCTTTGGCAAAGTATTATATTGCAGTTATGACAGCTTTTCTTCTTGGGCGCTGTCAGTAGAGGCTGACTTCATGCAACGTCCTCACACTGACTGAGCAGTCAGTGAAACATAACCACAGATAGTCCTTGTGACAAGTCAGAATTCTTATTGCCTGGATGTCTCTTTCTCGGCCACCTAGCCGCTGCTGCAACACTGTTTCAACTGACAGTATGTTCAGTAGCCTACTGATGCTGTTGTACCAGCCAAGCAGAGCAGCTAAGCTAGGTTTCAGTACAACCCAGGCCAAAACTGAGAAAGCTGTGGTGTTCACAGGTTCTTTGATTACCATGTTCATGCAGTTAACCTTAATAGATCACAGGTGCTATCACTTTAAATTCAAAACAGAAAGCCTGTGCTACAAACTAGTGGCAAGAGACTAATAGACAGGCTGGAAGCGTCCAACTAAGCCTAAGCTACTGATCGTGTAAACCTATTGGGTATTTTTTAAATGAATCAATTCATTCATCTAATGTAGAACAAAGATATTAACTTTCAAAAACACATTTTGCTTTTATTGTAGAAACTACAGTATTTCATCACAGCACTGCCAAACCTGCTATGCAACAAGCCGAGAGACGGTGAGCCACAGTGTGGTCGGTGTGCCAAAACCTAGTCATCATACCTCATTCAGAGGTGAGATGATATTTGGCAATGTATTTTGTTGATGGCAGCTTTAAGTTTGAATAATTCTTTAATTCTAATTTGGACTTTGGACCTTTAAAAATGAATCAATATTTGGTAAGAACCTGTAGACAAATGCACACAGGTTTAGAGGAGGGAAGTAAACAAGGGATCATGAGGCCAAAAAAGTTTTGTAATCGCCAGTCTAACTAAGGTTTAATACAAATTGTACAGGAATACTGAACAGTTGGATCTGCTACAAAATGTTTGGTGGATAAAGTGTAAAGGTAACAATAACATCTGCCAGTCCGCACTTACCAGTACAAAACGCTGAATTAAATGAATGGCACTTGTACACATCCAGGCCTATTAAATCAACACTGACACATCTACTCTCCTCGATATATAACAATGTTCTTATCTGTCTCATAAATCTTGATCTCATAGAGCAGATTGGGTGGGAGGGCCTTCACCATGTTGTCCCAGATGTAAACAGCCAGGTTCTCTGTTGTGCTGATGGACAGAGCAGACAAACCAGTGTAAAAAATGTATAAACTGTAGGAACTGCTGTGAAAGTAATGGAGAAGGGTACGTACCTTACAACACTGGCAAAGTATGGGACATCCTTATCCAGGTTTTTATGGTCCAGTGGAACCATGATGACTTCCTGCAGGAAGGAATCAGTCATGTTCAGTACAAAGAATTGAAAATGGTTACATAAAAAATAAATAAATAAAACTGTTGTTAATTTGAGCTGAAAAATTGCAGAAAGTGCAAGTTTATAACTGTAAATATGTTTCTTGACTTTTCACATTATTACATGTCCAATGGGTGTTAGTATGAGCAGGACTATATATATTGTTCTAATCAAGTACGACTCACATTAACGCTGCAATAATCAATTGTTTTAGATGAACAATGACTCAAATGAGAATGTGTAGTATGACAGAGGTCACAATTGTGACAAATCCACAGTTTTTATTTGTTCTGCACTTCTCCTCAGCTCTACAACACTTTTCAGCTCAGTGTTTTGTTTTAAGAGCAGCAGGGATACCGTTTTGGTTGTTTCACTGCTCTCACCAAGTCAAGTCAAATTTATTGATAAGCACAATTAAAACAGGGGCTAATCAATAAATAATGACCAATACAAGACATCAGAAATATAAGAAAACAAGAATCTTAACCAGGTTTTAAAGCCAAGGAGTAACCTCATTTTCAGCCTCAGCAGAAACCAGTGAACATACTGGAACATCTGGCAGCTAAAGAGTCTACCATTTTTCTCAGGTGACCACAGACATGGTCATACAAATAATCTCCAAAAGTGACAGAATACTTATACTTTATCTACATTCATAGGTAAAGACGTGTCCCAGTAGAACAGCAGTGTTGTAGCTTAGCTAGTGACAAGGCTGATACAGACAATAATAACAGTAATACAGCTGCAGGTGGCAGGCTGTGGTCCATAAATACCAAAGAGGAAACCCTCTGGGCTTAAATCGTGCTGAGTTTTAGTTGAGGGACTGCAAGCCCCCATTAACCAGACAGAGTGGCTGTGGTTCTGTGTGAAACTCTTCCTTGAAGCAGTTTTGATGAAACCCCACTACAGAGAAGACTGTTGTCCAGCTGATCATACCTCAATGCATCTCTTGAGGTCTGTCAGGTTCATGACCATGCCAGTGATACGATCGATCTGTGAACATACAAAAGCATTTTCACAATATGTCTATATGTGTGTGTGATGTCATATGGCAGGCTTCTGGTTTACTGCTTCATGTCTCAAGGACTAAAACCCCACTGACGTAGTACTTGGTGACACTCCTCGCATCAAGCTTGACATGCACTCACCTTTCCTCGCACTGTTACCTCCACTGCAGACAGAAAGCAGAACATTAACCAGACATGGAGACAAGAGCTGTAATGGGCTACAGAACAGGGGCCTATAAAAGAGGCATGACAAACCCTTGTAGTTGTGTCCATGGCCATAGGGATTGTTGCATTTTCCATAAACTTTTTCATTCTCCCCGTCACTCAGGTGAAGGCTGAAAACAAGATCAGGGAACATGTGTGTCAGGCTGCTTTCACAGCTACAGCGTTTAGTTCCATTGAATCGAGCTAGAGTTCGTTTTCCCTCTTGGTGCGGTTCGTTTTGTCTGCTGTGAACATGGTAATGGCACCAAAACAACTGCACCGAGACCCCCAAAATGAGGTGGTCTCGATCCGCATCATCTAGCGAACTCTGGTGCGGTCCTCCTGGTGAGAACGCGTACCGAACCAAAACGGGACCAAAGGCCGTGAACCACATGATTTGAGGACATTGGATTATGGGTAGATTTTATTTCCTGTCACCTAAAACATGCGCCAGGATGAATCGTGGGCAAACTGTACGACTTGGTTTAAGTGGAAAATGCAAGTAACGTAATACAAAAATAACCAGGGCGAGGTCCAACCCACGTATGTTGACCTCCATCCTCTCGTCACAGAAACGTGGACTTTCTGCCTTTATTTACTTTTTCTGTTCTCGCGGCAGACACATCTGACCAATAAGCGGAGAGAACGTTCTCGCGTAGTTTTACGTGACGTGTTTTGGTGCGCTTGGATTTTTCTGTGTGTGAAACGAAACCGAACCAAGGAGACATTGCTACATGTTTACAAACTCGTCAACTGATTCGGACCAAAGCAAACGAATTAAAGTGTGAAAGCACCCTGAGTCAAACCTGCATTCATGATGCAAGCCCCATGATTTTAGAAATCAAACAAGGAAAATGTGCCAAGAGTTTGACACATGCTGCCTTCAGGTACACCGCAAACACTCTATTTTCTCATTTTAGAATTTGCAAACAATAATAATGAAGTAGAAAAATGACTAGATATGAAGCAGTCTGATTAGTTCACAGATTTGTAAATTAGGTTATTAAATCCATTAGTTAACAGAACATCACCTATTTTGATTGAGGTTATTTAAAGTGTTTGTCACTCTTGAAACATTCTCTAGTGAAGCCTGATTTGCTCTTGTCTGAATGCTTCACTTACGGTTTAATTCATACTTGATTTACTGGTATATCTCCTTTCCCCTAAACAGAATACAGTTAGGAAAGGTAAACCACACACTGTTCTCTCCAGTTAGAACCAATGCTGCAGTACCTCAAGGCTACATTAGCTCACCTTTTTATTTACATTGTATGCTGTTGATTGCACCACCAGTACTGTCTAACCAGTTTCTTCTGAAATATTTTGATGATTCCACCTTACTGTCTTCCTGCTAACTGACAGCGTTGATGCTAGAATGTACCAGCATACAGTAATATTGACTGGCTGATTGAATGGTATGGCAAAATGCCATTATCACAACAGACAAGACAGAGGAAATTTCCTGTGGTCATCCTCCTTCCAGTTCTAATACATAAAACAGAAATTAAACAACTGTCTTCCTACAAATATCTGGGTGTTATGATCAATGCTACCCTATCTAAGGCTCCTCATACAGACTTTTTTGTAGGAAGATACAGCCGTGTATCTTCTTTCTTCTTCTAGATGGTTTGGAGCCAGCAGTCAGATTTATGTTATGTTTTTTTTCCAAGACAGTGTCCTGCTGCAAAGCAGTACAGTCTGGGTTTTTGTTTAAACATCACTGGCCAACCTTTAAAATCTCTTTTCAAGCAGGTCACAATTTAAGCATGCTCATACTGTCTGAAAGTACCTCTTCTGACCCCTTGTACATTTTAAATGGCAAATACCAATGCCTGGTTTAGTCTGATGACTTGAATGTAACAAACGGAAGAAATATTTGGTTCTTCAGTGTTTCTTAATCCAAATCAGTGTGATCTGAAGAATATGTTGTGCCATGCTGTATATGTCTGGTGCATTTGGATTGTATACTGTGTGACTGTTAAGATGCATCATCCTATCATTATTCTTCCATAGAAATGACTTAGTTCATGTCTATTATAGTTTAGACATTGATGCTAAATCGTGCTACAAAATAATAAAATAAATAATAACATACCTAGCATGTTAGCAATATAGCCTAATTACTGGTTTATTTTTTTTCCAATGTGACTTTGTTTGCCATGTCATTATTATCTCTACTTGATTATTACAAAAAATACTAATTGTAAAAACTAAACTGAATATATTCTAATTTTTATTTTTCCTGTCATTATTTCCTCTGTAGGCTCAGTTATTAGCCATATCACAATTTTATGGGTAATTCGCGGGTAAAAAGCTCTTTTGTATGACACTTCAGACAACAAGTGAAGGCAGCAGCAGCGCTTATGCAATGAGTTAAATGAGCCAAGAAGACAAACTACAAAGAATTGTGCTAATTCCACCCATTTCATTCATTTTATTTCATGTGCAGTAATAAACAAATGGCTACGGTAACACTCTACACATTCTGTACATCTAATAAAGTGTTTTCCATGCCGCCAGCTCTCTCTAAACCAAACATCTACCCACTATTCTGTAATAGTTTCTCTTTCATGCGTATAAGAAAACTGCTGCAGCCTACTGTAAAATAAGAAAACCTCACTATCAGGTGGCAATCAGTAGTTTCATTCGGCACACATCAGCATCAGTTATCTAAACACGCGTTAGAGATAAAGGATGCTACGTTATCATGTGTCCCATACAGTAGTATGGCGCTGGCCTACCTGTGGAGCCGGTGACAGGCGCTGAAGCTCTGCACTCGGGTGATGTATCCAATGCGCTCCGCTGCGCTATCGTTCGCAGAAGATCCAGCCATGGTCAGCACCTGAGAGAGGGACCGATTATAATCAGCTCACAGCCCCGAAAACAAGGAGATGCAACAGTTTACAGCCAAAGCTCCAGCCCCCGTGACTCCCGCTGCATGGCCATTGGCTGAGCTCAGGGAATAAACACAGCTCACAGGTCCCACCTGCGTGTGTAAGCCCTTCAGGCTGAAGTAGCAGCAGGACTTATACACTGAAATGACTAAATGTTACTTTTCCTTTGTAGTATGAGAACACTGTTGTTTTCCAAGAGGGGACAATTAGGCTACTAGAAGGAAAGTAGGGCAGAAAGGTCATTGTTTTGTAGAAATAATTTAAACATTAATTCATTATTTACATTTATATGGGCAAAAAGTATGTCATCTCTGTATTTCAGTTAGCTGTTCGGTGATTCAGATAATCAGTAAAGCTATCCAGTCTCTGTGGTCTTTTTTTTTTTTTTACATGCCTCAGCAGAAGTGTGCAGGTAAATAATCATCCCTTTCAGAGTTGGACACATGCATGTATATTATATGCAGCATTCTAATGTTGGAGATGGTACAGTGGGGCTAAATCTACACTGGTGAAGGAAGAGTTCATTAAGCTGAAATGTAGCAGTATAAAATAAAACACCTGTATATGAAAGAGTACATACAGTATGTATTGGTAGCAAAAAGAACCTGAAGTATCGACGGTGCACTATTATGCTCTAAAATGTAGAAAAATAAGTTATGTTGAAGCACAGAATTGGAGTAAACACAGTTACATACTGTAGGTCATTTTCACAGTTTTAGGAGGAAAAGCACAGGTTTCTACATCGATTAGTTCAACAAGTCATTTGTCAGCCATTTGAGAGTCACCAGATCCCATTCTGCCAGAAAATACTGAATCATTTTTAATGTGTTTATTAGTCTTGTACTAAACACAGAGGGTGTAGTGCAGTCCTGAAAATGAACAGAGATCTAAAGTAAAAGGTACTATAGGTGGATAACTGATAACCATCTTTAACATTTAGCCATTTAAAAGAGCACTCCTAGAAAGATACAGTTGCATGTTGACATAAGATATCTACATTACAGAAACATAATCACTAGTTAAGCAAATAGTTCTACTGGAGATATTTGGAGTTGGTTTAATGTCCCCTCAGTGGTAAAAACAAGTGTGTGAAATGGAATACTTCATTGTAGAAAATAAAACATGACTTCCAGTGCTGCTTTCTCTGCTCATATATTGAACTCTATCATGTCTTTGTGGCAGCCAAGTGGGGGTTTACTTTATACAGATTTTAAGGAACACAAGCTGAAGCTGTGTTTAATTTCTGCTTTGCATTGTAGAATGTGTGTGGTTAGCTTTAAAAGTTAAGGCTGGTGATTTTGTATGGTGTTATTTTCCAACAATGACATACAGAGACTAAGACCAATACTGGATTTCATATACTTACCATAATGTTTGTCAACCCTAAACCCGGTTGAGCTAGTTCCTGTGTCAGACCTCCGTAGTTCTCTGAAAACTATTAAAAACACACCAGTTGGCCACATTGCACACGTTTCTTCCCCATTAAAAAAAAAAACAATAACTCCAAAAGCAAAGAACAGCCAGCAGATATAATAATCCTATGTGGAACAATAAGTTGCATCTGATCTAGGTCTGTATTAAGTAATTGTTACAGAGAACCGTATATACGTATACTAGTTCGGACTCAGTAAAAAGGCAGAACTCAGACTTAACCAGGTAAAGGTATTTTAATGACTACAGAAATGATGAGTGGTCAGAACCGGTCTTGTCAGCTGATGTCAGGGCAGCGGGGAGTGCTGGGTTGACTGGACTGCTAGAGCTACAACCCGAGGTTGTAGGAGAGGCGCAGCTGGCTAAAGAAAAGCAGAGGATGAGAATGAGTAACAGTGACGCTAAGATTATGGACTGATAGTATACTGAGGGCCTGAATAGCAGAATTTACTGGCTCAAGTCAGGTGAATGCCATAGGCATGAAACAGTCCAGAGGAGGTGTAGGAGTTGGCACAGGAGATCACTGGTCCGGCATGCAGTAGATGGGGAGGATCAGGCTCGCAGCGGATGGTAGAGCAGGCAGCAGGATGCTGTGAGGACAGCTGACAGTTGGGATCCAGAGCCAGGCAACCAGTCCCAGCAAGAGTTGGTCTCCTCATCCTGAGGAGTGTCACCTGGAGAAACAGTTCACAATCCAGGCACCAAATGGTGCTAATACAAAATGGCTGCAACCAACAAGCAGAGGGGACCTTGTTCTTTAACACTAGTCCACAGCACAAACAGTTCAAACAGAAAGCAACCCTTCAAAAAATAAGAAGGGCATTCAGTTCGTTACTACCTGAAATCAAGTCCAACAACATAGAAAACAGTTCATACATAGGGCATCCTAGTGATGAGGGCAAAGACAGGTTACCAGCAGG